TTTCGTTCCCCTTGCGCGACCTTTAGTTGAAGTTGCTCGCGCTCTGACTGAAAGACAGATAAAGATTCCTTCAGTACTAAATTTTCGTCTGAAGCCTTTTTCACTTTTGCTTTCAGGTCATCGACGTTGCGCTAAATGATTACAGTGTTTATCGCGATATTTGTACAGCTATAATACTGCATGCGTAAATCAATATATTATTGATTTATCGACTAAAATTGGTACACATTCAATATAAAAATCAAATCAAGCAACAATAGCATACAGCTAGTGAAAACACCATGATTGACTAGGGCAACATCGGGCAGTGAATATGAATTTCACAATCCGTTACTACGAGTTTTCATGGCTAAGGAATCTCTGCAGATTAATGATTCCTGGCAACCACTGCAAAAATGAAAGTTTGAAATATTATGAAAATATGCGTTATATAAAATTATGATAACTTCTTCTCTAGCTACATCAACAACGGCTGCTATGAGGTGACTAAGGTACAGACATGGGCCTATTAGGGAACAAGAGACATTTTCCGTGCAGGGAATGTCTCTCAAACACATAGTGATTATGCTTCGATGGCGGATTGCTCTGCAGCATCGAGAAGCTACGGCAGATAATGCGGCAAGAAGTCGTTAGTGTGCGCTACGAGCAAGAGGAGTGATGGCACTTGGCAATTGCTGTCTTCATTCATCCTCCCTGTTAACTGTAATAATGAGCTTGTATCCTTATAGTGGGTCAAACATTGAAATCAAATTCAGGGGACAAAACATCTATGAATTCTACCATGGCCAGCCCTATGTTCAGCTAAAAACGGAGGAGAGATGGAGACTGCGGATTAGACTCCGTTAAATTATTCTACAGACACCCCTGCCTCGTCCCATCACATGCTACTTGTTCCATGAAAACGACTTGCCGTGCTAAACTGATCTTCGACGTGGTAAGCGAAAGCCACATAGTTTATTCGTGAACTGGACAAGTTCGGCTATCCGAAGCTGCCTGGTGTTGGCGATGAGCATGTAACATAGAATCCACTATGTCTGACATAGTAGTGGTCCAAACGGAATCGTTACTCGTTTTAAATTGAGGGCAAACGGGGCACAGTTTTAGCGTAGCAGGTCAGACAATAGCTCAGGTAACGGCAACATCTCTGAAACCTGACAGTCCGGTACTGAAATATCTCTTGACTCAGAAGAACCGAGCAGAACTTTGTAGACGAGGCAACATGGAAGCAATCAGACATAGCTGAAATCTCGCCAGCGACGCACAAAGACTAGAACCCTTAACCACTGCAGATGAGACCTTTTCTATTCAGGCGTGACACCATGGAATTTCCCACTCATATCGACGTGGGTTTGATGATGAAGCCAGCGCTGACCGAAGATGCAATGGAATCGAGACCATCTATCAATGGAATTTTTCGCATTGAAGCTGCGATAGGGCAGAGTTGTGACCTCGATGCAGATCTACGTGCAAAATTAAAAGCAGAGTAAGGCCCTTGGTAGATGATGGAAACTGTTCTTTCGGCAAAGTGTAAAACAGGGAATTCGTACGTGGAAACACATGACAGAAAAAATTCGACTACTTCTGAGATGGGTTAATGCCGGCGGTATCTGAAACTGTTTAAACGAAAGTATCTAAGGGTAACTAATATTCAACACAACATCTGTATTCTAAGATATGAATCTTACCTTATATGCTGCAGCTTCTTCTTCGAGTTCAGAATTAAATTTTTGTAACTGCGCAATACGCGATGACAAGTGCAAGTTTTCCGTTTCACGCTTTCTGACAGTTTCATCCTGAGCCACTAGCAACGCTTGCATTGACGAAAACTTTTCTTCACACAGTTTGTTCTCTGAAACCGAAAATTCAGCAGTTAGTTCTGTGAGTAGAACGACAACGACCCTCACATGGTCCTCCTGCTAAGCGTCCTCCCGGCCAAAAAGCACCCCTTAGTTGAACGGTCCTATTCTTGGCTATCTTGGTAACCAGTCCCCTTTAAGGGTCATCAGATTCTGCCCTTAAACCGAACGACTCACCTCAGGACCTCTCAAAGCGATTTACTGGTCCCGAACTTCGTATATGCCAACTCAGCATCGAAGGCATTTTACACTCCAAATACGAATACTTCTCGCAAACACTCAAGGACCACGACATCGACGTCACTGACATACAAGAAACCCATGACAAAGTAAGAATGGAGCCGTGCTGGCCAAGTAATCACATTGACATCGTGTATCGAATCTGGCTTCCAAAAAATACAAAACGACCGTTGCCCGGCATTCGAAAACGATGTAAACACACAGGCTGCTCCTTTTGCTTCTTGCCAAAATCTTCTCCTCAGGATTTCTTGTAGCCTTGGGCTATCAAACCAGCTCAACTACGGTTAGGCAAGGCTGCGTCCTGCACCCCTACTTTCGAAATCTGCCCAAGTAATATTCGCTAACGTCAGCCAGAAGGTTTGCCTACGCGAATGATATAGCACTTGCACTCCAAGGGAGAAGTCTCGACCAAGTCTGCCGAACCCTAACCGCTGAACAGAAAACGTGGAAGACTATTACCAACACTGGCGCCCCCCCCCAAACCCATTGAAAACAACCGCCACTGCTTTTCGTCTCAACAATGGCCTGGCAAAAGCTACCCTTGAAATACCTTTCTATGACGATCAAGTAAAATACGAAGTCTATCCAATATACCTAGGGGGGTAACTTTAG